CCTAAATACTAATAAGGGGGGGACCTAATGTCCTCCCCCTGGCCCCCACCCCTGAGTGGCGGGTGGGGGCGCTAAATACCAATGGGGGGGACCTATTGTCCTCCCCTGGCCCCCACCCCTGAGTGCAGGTGGGGCCCCTAAATACCAATAGGGGGGACCTATTGTCCTCCCCCCCTGGCCCCCACCCCTGAGCGGTGGGTGGGGGCCCTAAATACTAATGTCCTTCCCCTGGCCCTCACCCCTGAGCGGCGGGTGGGGGCCCTAAATACCAATGGGGGGAACCTATTGTCCTCTCCCCCGGCCCCCACCCCTGAGAGGCGGGTGGGGGCCCTAAATACCAATAAGGGGGGAGACCTAATGTCCTCACTCTGAGCGGTGGGTGGGGGCCCTAAATACTAAGGGGGGACCTAATGTCCTCCCCCCTGGCCCCCAACCCTGAGCGACGGGTGGGGGCCCTAAATTGAAATGGGGGGGGACCTAATGTCCTCCTCCCTGGCCCCCACCCCTGAGCAGCGGGTGGGGGCCCTAAATACCAATGAAGGGACCTATTGTCCGGCCCCCCTGGCTCCCACCCCTGAGAATTTTCCCACGCTGTGTAACTTGACTCATAACACTCTGATTGGTGGATAAAAAGAAGATTTAAGAAAACATTGAATGGTAAGTTTTATTTTTTTTACAGGTACTTAGTTAAAGGTCCCCCCCTCATTATTTTTAGGGTGATGGGGGTAGGTAGGGGGTTAAAAATTTTTGGGGGGGGTGGGGGTGACTAGGGGTTTGGAGACCCCTAGTCACCTGGGAGGGTTAACATTTTTATTTAGGGCCCCCACCCGCCGCTCAGGGGTGAGGGCCAGGACATTAGGTCCCCCCCCCCTTATTAGTATTTAGGGCCCCCACCCACCGCTCAGGGGTGGGGGCCAGGACATTAGGTCCCCCCCCTTATTAGTATTTAGGGCCCCCACCCACCGCTCAGGGGTGGGGGCCAGGGGGAGGACATTAGGTCCCCCCCCTTATTATGTAGGGCCCCCACCCACCGCTCAGGGGTGGGGGCCAGGACATTAGGTCCCCCCCTTATTAGTATTTAGGGCCCCCACCCACCGCTCAGGGGTGGGGGCCAGGGGGAGGACATTAGGTCCCCCCCTTATTATGTAGGGCCCCCACCCACCGCTCAGGGGTGGGGGCGGGGGGGAGGACTTTAGGTACCCCCCCTTGTTCCAATTTAGGGCCCCCACCCGCCGCTCAGGGGTGGCAGCCAGGGGGAGGACAATAGGTCCCCCCCCCCATTATTTTACATTAGGGCCCCCACCCGCCGCTCAGGGGTGGGGGCCGAGGGGGGCAATTTTTTTTTTTTTAAATAGACATGCCCCTACTCGCGGTTGACTGGCTAAGTAACTTACATTTTATATGAATGTATGTTACTTGATTGTTGTAAGTGTTGCAAATGCTTACAGTTAAATCCTGTCTATGTTTGTATACTTTTTATTTAAAATTGTATACAATGTAACCTTCTTTTCTCACTGGGTAAGTATATTAATACTTAAGCAATACTGTGCTTCTGAACTTCGGTAATTTCGGAAGTGCCCGAAATTCGTCCGAATTCATATTCGGACCCAAACGAATTGCACATGTCTAATGGCTAGAATGGATGAGATATAATGCTAATAAACATAATCAAACTAACTACTATGTATGTGGGGGAGCAAGGCCCCACTTAGGTACCGTACCCTTGATCCTACCCCTTAACGTAGAAGTGTGTTTCCTGAATCTTTTCACTAAAACCGGGACTAATCAGTCAGTGTGTGAATCATGCAAAAAGGAATATCAAATTCTAACCAAGACCCCCAAACCAGGTGAGGGTATTACGATATAGCCAGGGAACTATACATGCTATGGTATATATGGAAGGAAAGGCAGGTTTCTGGGAAATTTCACCAGTGGGTATTGTGCCACCTATAGCAAGCTTCCAGTCACCTTGCTGCTAAATCAGATTCGGTCCCTGGGAGATATATACTGGATTTGTGGGGATATGAAGATTAGGACAAGGTTGGAAGGCCTATGGTGGGGGGAATGTGCCTTAGCTAAAGTTATTATACCCCTACACATAATATCTGAAGGACCACCACACTCACTGGATAAGTCACCCCCGCACACTAGAACAAGGAGAAACATCCCTGTAAGAGGCAGTTTCGACCCTCATGTATATATTGATGTCATTGGGGTGCCAGATGAATTCAAAGCTAGGGATGAAGTTGCTGCGGGTTTTGAATCCATTCTTCCAATCATTACTGCAAATAAGAATGTGAATTAGATTAATTACATATATTATAACCAGCAGCGGTTTGTAAATTATACAAGCGATACTACCCTTCAAGGCATAGCTGAACGATTACAAGCCACACCCCAGATTACCTTCCAGAATAGGATGGCCCTAGATATGATTTTGGCAGAAAAAGGAGGAGTGTGTAAAATGCTCCTGGACACTATGACATGTAACAAAGAAACATATAATGTGACGGCAGATAAGAACCATTTGGCCCATCTAGTCTGCCCAATTTTCTAAATACTTTCATTAGTACCTGGCCTTATCTTATAGTTAGGATAGCCTTATGCCTATCCCAGGCATGCTTAAACTCCTTTACTGTGTTAACCTCTACCACTTCAGCTGGAAGGCTATTCCATGCATCCACTACCCTCTCAGTAAAGTAATACTTCCTGATATTATTTTTTAAACCTTTGTCCCTCTAATTTAAGACTATGTCCTCTTGTTGTGGTAGTTTTTCTTCTTTTAAATATAGTCTCCTCCTTTACTGTGTTGATTCCCTTTATATATTTAAATGTTTCTATCATATCCCCCCTGTCTCGTCTTTCCTCCAAGCTAAGATCCTTTAACCTTTCCTGGTAAGTTTTATCCCGCAATCCATGAACCAGTTTAGTAGCCCTTCTCTGAACCCTCTCTAAGGTATCAATATCCTTCTGAAGATACGGTCTCCAGTACTGTGTACAATACTCCAAGTGAGGTCTCACCAGTGTTCTGTACAATGGCATGAGCACTTCCCTCTTTCTACTGCTAATACCTCTCCCTATACAACAAAGCATTCTGCCAGCATTTCCTGCTGCTCTATTACATTATCTGCCTACCTTTAAGTCATCAGAAATAATCACCCCTAAATCCCTTTCCTCAGATGTTGAGGTTAGGACTCTATCAAATATTCTGTACTCTGCCGTTGGGTTTTTACATCCAAGATGCATTATCTTGCACTTATCCACATTAAATGTCAGTTGCCACAACTCTGACCATTTTTCTAGTTTACCTACTTCATTTGCCATTTGGCTTATCCCTCCTGGAACATCAACCCTGTTACATATCTTAGTATCATCAGCAAAAAGACATACCTTACCATCAAGACCTTCTGCAATATCACTAATAAAAATTGTGACAGACCCATCTGTATAACTATTATTGCTGGTTCGTCTGTTTTATCTCCATTCGTGGAAATACCTGTCCGTATGCCCCTGTTCGTTTATGGCAGGATTACTATGTATACCTGTGTTCATTTATCACTCAAAATGGCTGCTAGAGCACCCCCTCCCATCGACCAAGACCCTTGTGTAGTAAGATGGCGTCTCCATCCGGAGTAACACCTAAGATGACGATGACATCAACACCCTCCAGAGGAAGTCCATCAAGATTAGGCACTTAACACCTAACCAATTAAATCTTTACTTTACTAAAACACCTAACACTTAACCAATTGAAAAGTTTACTTTCTGTATTTGCATACGTAAAATTCTTTGCCTTGGTAAGGAGCTATGCCGCCCCCTGACAATACACTTAGAAAAAGTTCAGTTAAATGAAAACTTCCGTGTCAGTGTGATTTCTTCGGCGAGCACGCTTTACTACATTTAAAACATTTGGACAAGGGCAGATATTCAAGCAAACACTTGGTTTGGTCTAAAACAATATAAATACAATAATCAGTGTGCAGGCTGTGGGGGGTTAGTGATATGAATACAATAATCAGTGTGCAAGCTGTGGGGGGTTAATGATATAAATACAATAATCAGTGTGCAGGCTGTGGGGGGTTAGTGATATAAATACAATAGTCAGTGTGCAGGCTGTGTTGGGGTTAGTGATATAAATACAATAATCAGTGTGCAGGCTGTGTTGGGGTTAGTGATATAAATACAATAATCAGTGTGCAGGCTGTGTTGGGGTTAGTGATATAAATACAATAATCAGTGTGCAGGCTGGTGGGGGGGTTAGTGATATGAATACAATGTAATCAGTGCAGGCTATGGGGGGGTTAGTGATATGAATACACAATCAGTGTGCAGGCTATGGGGTTAGTGATATGAATACAATAATGAGTGCAGTGGGGGGGGGGGGGGGTTAGTGATATGAATACAATAAATGAGTGTGCAGGCTGTAGGGGGGTTAGTGATATGAATACAATAATGAGTGTGCAGGTTGTGCGCTGCCATTCCATGTCGGACAGGAACCGCTTCCTGGCAGCAGTGGGGGCAAAATTGCCTTGAACTTGCAGGCTTCCAAATTGACATTTTTTTTTTCAGGATCCAACCAGAAATCCCCTACAATGGTGATATGAATACAATAATCAGTGTGCAGGTTGTGGGGGGTTAGTGATATGAATACAATAATCAGTGTGCAGGCTGTGGGGGGTTAATGATATAAATACAATAATCAGTGTGCAGGCTGTGGGGGGTTAGTGATATGAATACAATAATCAGTGTGCAGGCTGTGGGGCGTTAGTGATATGAATACAATAATCAGTGTGCAAGCTGTGGGGGGTTAGTGATATGAATACAATAGTCAGTGTGCAAGCTGTGGGGGGGTTAGTGATATGAATACAATAATCAGGGTGCAGGCTGTGGGGGGGGTGGGGGGGGGTTAGTGCTGTATTACACTGTGACCCATAGTAATGGCTGTTTTTCTCTCATCCTATACGGCTATCCGTTTCCAGGTTACAGAATGGACATTCCCGGCCGCCGTACTCAGTACATCTTCCCCCGTGTTACGTAATGAACCCGGAAGTGCTTTGTTTTCGGTCCGTGGTGTCGGAATGGAGCTGGAGGAAGGCTCGGGGCAGTGGCGGCCGTTAGACGGAGATACCGGTCCGGCCAGTAGGGGGAGCCCCGGAGACAGCGGCCATGTATCGCAGAGCCACAGCGTCTGCAGCGGCGCCTCGGCCGGCCTCCTGACAGAAGATGAGGAGGAACCGGGGAGGCAATGCACTCCTCCCGCCCTACTGGACCACCTCCTGCCGGCTGCGGCTTCCAGCTACTCCGGCTACGTACTCCAGGGAGAGCAAACGGCCGAGGTGAGGACCGAGTGGGCGGGGCTTCTCTTGTCACGTGCGGCAGGGAATGCAGTCCGGGATTAGGCTGTGGGCGGGGCGATATGTATGATGTGTCTGACCGAGTTACCATGGAAACCGTGCACTGCCTGCACAGGGAGCTCCATATTGATGGTGTGTCTGTGTGTGTAACAGAGCTCCATATTGTTGGTGTGTCTGTGTGTGTAACAGAGCTCCATATTGTTGGTGTGTCTGTGTGTGTAACAGAGCTCCATATTGTTGGTGTGTCTGTGTGTGTAACAGAGCTCCATATTGATGGTGTGTCTGTGTATAGAAGAGCTCCATATTGTTGGTGTGTCTGTGTGTGTAGCAGAGCTCCATATTGTTGGTGTGTCTGTGTGTGTAACAGAGCTCCATATTGATGGTGTGTCTGTGTATAGCAGAGCTCCATATTGTTAGTGTGTCTGTGTGTGTGTAACAGAGCTCCATATTGATGGTGTGTCTGTGTGTAACAGAGCTCCATATTGATGGTGTGTCTGTGTGTGTAACAGAGCTCCATATTGATGGTGTGTCTGTGTATAGCAGAGCTCCATATTGTTGGTGTGTCTGTGTATAGCAGAGCTCCATATTGTTGGTGTGTCTGTGTGTGTAGCAGAGCTCCATATTGTTGGTGTGTCTGTGTGTGTAACAGAGCTCCATATTGATGGTGTGTCTGTGTATAGCAGAGCTCCATATTGTTAGTGTGTCTGTGTGTGTGTAACAGAGCTCCATATTGATGGTGTGTCTGTGTGTAACAGAGTTCCACAGCAATAATCATCACTGTAATGTCTTTTAACTACAATAAATATGTTTAAAATCAGTCTGTGTGAAGAAGATACACTGTTCTAGTTCTAAATTACATTTTAGTCCCATTAATTATTAATCCCCTAAAATTGAAGCCTTCTTGTTTGTCTTTTTGAAATGTTGAGAGGTATGCTACTCTGTCACTTATTGCATTTTGCTAAAAAAAAAACAAACATGTCATTATTTCTCTGCTCACATGCAGGACTGCGGTAAATATATATTCTTCCCACATCCTAGTCTAAACCCTTAAATGGACATTATAGTCACCAAGCCGTTTTGGTGTGTAGGTCATGCCTCTGCAGTCTTAATTGGGAAATATATGACATTTAGGAGTTAAATTGCTTTATGCGGCCCTAATCACACCTCCCTGCATGTGACTTACACAGCCTTCCTAAACACTTCCTGTAAAGAGTCATCTAATGTTTACACTTTATTGCAAATTCTGTTTAATTTAGTATTTCTAATCTGTTGCTCTGTTAATAGCTTGCTAGACCCTGCAAGAGCCTCCTGTGTGTAATAAAAGTTCAATTTACAGGGGGGCGGAGCTTAGCGCCTGAGCCGAACAGACGCATCTCATCAGTGCTTCGGGCACTAACCCCAAACCCGGCCCTCTGCATACTATGGAAGGGGTGAGCTACAGACACATGCCTTTCTTGTACCTTTCTTGTACCCAAAATCGAACAAGAAGGCTCGCCGCAAATCTGGGGCCTACCTAGGTGGGACCTTGAGGCAGAGTTAGCAAAGCTATATAGCCCCTCCTCTCTCAGCTGCACGCTAACCCTCCATGGGACGCAGATCCCAGAAACCTCTGTTCGGCCCCAGCAAAGACTCACAAGACAAGGAACTCGAGGTACAAAGGTTAAAAGACCAAATGCAAAGCTTACAACACTCACATACTTCCCTGACACAGAGGGTAGATATCACTGAAGACCTCAATAGATGTGCCAATATCAAATTCCGAGGTGTCCCAGATTCAATAAACCGGGCAGAACTGCCACACTACTTAAGGCGACTGACAGAATCACGCCTGCCTTACTCGCAGGCTAAAAAACTCCAGTTCGACGGCTGCTACAGAATCAATAAATCCAGACCGGTCCCATCCGATGCCACCCACGACATAATTGTGCGATGCCATTCCATGTCGGACAGGAACCGCTTCCTGGCAGCAGTGGGGGCAAAATTCCCTTGACATTTTTTTTCAGGATCCAACCATAAATCCCCTACAATGGCAGAAGTCCCTAGGTGCAGTTACAGGTTGACTAAGAGAACCCAGAGTGGAATATTGATGGAGTCTACCGAGAGCCCTTATGGCTACAACAGCGGATGGCAGAATACTAAGACTCACCTCCATAACTGATGCCGCAGCGTTTTTTCAAACACTGGGACTAAGCCCACATCCGGTTGAGCCCAATACCTCCTCCACCACCAAGTCCTGGGATCCAGCACGAACAAAGTCCCTCACGCCTGGAGGGAGAGAAGCCGGGCGCAGCGACTTGACCACGCTGTTTTTGTTTACTTTATTTCTGTTCAGCATTACTACCGTTGATTTAATTTAATCTTTTTCCTTATGCCTCAACACTCAGTAGAGTACCATAAGGCCTACCTAAGCCTAATCTATTCCCACAGTTAATGCCCCAATATGGCCCATAGCAACCACTATAGTGCCCAAACTCACGAGACAGTTCGCTATTCCCCCTCCTTCTCCCGCTACCTCCCCCCACCCCATAACCCCCTTAGGTTAGGGTTCATCCACCAGTTAAAACTATTGGTACCAATATAGCCAACGATGGTGTCACTTATAATCATGCCCGACTAACCTACCTGAAAATAAGACACGCTATAAGCAGGATGGTCTGGTGTTAGCTTAACCCGTTAAAACAGATGGCACCACCCACCTACGAGGAACTTACATCTAACAATCACCAATCATACTGCACAACCCCAACTGACATGCACAAAAAAAAAGTAAAAGAGGCATGCTAAAGTTGAATGTTTACAATTGTTAAAGGGACATTATAGTCACCAGAACAACTACAGTTTATTGAATTTGTTCAGGCTTTTTGCTGTAAACACTGTCTTTTCAGAGAAAATGCATTGTTTACATTACAGCCTAGTGATAACTTCACTGGCCTTCCTTAGATGGCTGTTAGAGATCCTTCCTGGGTCATGGCTGCCAAACATTCAGTGTCTCCTCCCTCTGCATGCAGAAACTGAACTTTCCTCATAGATATTCATTGATTCAATTCATCTCTATGAGGAGATGCTGATTGGCCAGGGCTGTGTTTGAATCATGCTGGCTGTGCCCCTGATCTGCCTCTTTGTCAGTCTCAGGCAATCCTATGGGGAAGCATTGTGATTGGATCAGGCTTCCACTTCTGATGATGTCAGCAGACAGCTTGTTTTTCTGAGTCTAACAGCATGCAGTTACAGCTTCAGTCTTGAATACAGTAAGGTTTTTACTATATTTATGGAGGCATGAGTGGCGCAGGGGGACTCGATGGTGGTTTTAACACTATAGGGTCAGGAATACAGGTTTGTGTTCCTGACCCTATAGTGATCCTTTAAGGTTATACTTCTATGTTCAATCTCAACTTACATTGTGAATCCTATATGTTTGTAAACTTGCCTCCATAAAACAAAGATTGACCAAAAAAAAAAAAAGGGTTCAATTTACAGAGCAGGAGGTAACAATCTTTAACCCCTTAAGGACCGTTCTGTTTTGGCCATGTTGTACCTGTTTTAACACTTCTGTGCTGTTTGTATTTAGCGGTAATTTTCCTCTCGTATTATTGTTCCCATACAAATGTATATATTTGTTTGGTTTTTTTTGGACAACAAGGGCTTTCTTTAAATACCATTATTTGTATCGTGTCATATAATTTACTTTAAAAAAAAAAAAAAAAAATATGGGGAAAGTTGAAAAAAACAAAACATGTTTTCTGACTTTTACTTGAAAAATCTTTTACTAAAAAAGCTAATGAAAAAAACGGTTAAATAGATTGAAGATTTTGTCCCGAGTTTAAAAACACCCAGTGTGTATAAATACAAGTAGGACATTACATGAATATGCATATAGAATTTAAATATTTATATATTTGAAGTCTATGCGTATATTTATGAAATTATGTATATGGACATATGTATATTTTGTATTTTTATATATACATTTTAAGTGTATGTTTATATAAATATATATATTAATATCAAAATAAAGTTAGAATAAATTACACGTGTGTGTGTAATTTAATTATAAGTGTATTTTTATATAAATATATTAATATAAAAACACACTTAGTATGATAAGATGTGTTTGTATATGTATGTATATGTGTGTGTGTATATATATGTATGTATATATGTATGTGTATATATTCTAAAAAAATTTATTTAACAGATGCAGGGAGACTGCCTGTCAGTTCAGACAGTCCCCCTGCAGGCAGATGCCTGGACGCCTATTGCGGCCATGTGACTGCTCAGTTAGAGCGACCACATGGCCCGCAGGGGCCTAATTTGCAGAGGGGGGACTGTCTGGGCTATCAGGCAGTCCCCCCAGACTGGGAGCAGTGCAGATCGCTGGCGGGGGAACGGCTGCGATCAAGTAAGTAATAATTAACGTTATGACGGTTCAGGACCGTCATCAGTCCTCAAGGGGATGTTTCTGATGACCGTCCTGAATCATCATCGGTCCTCAAGGGGTTAAAGTAAGTTACATCTGATTGAAAATGAAACCATTTTGATTTCATGCAGCCTGTGTCAGTCACAGCCAGGGAAGGTGTAGCTAGGGCTGCATAAACGGAAATAAAAGTGATTTAACTCCTAAATGGCGGATAATTGAGCAGTAAAACGTCACAGGTTTGATTCATATACAAAAGCTGCTTCATTAAGCTAAAGTTATTTTGGTCCCTTTAACCCCTTAAGGACACATGACGTGTGACATGTCATGATTCCCTTTTATTCCAGAAGTTTGGTCCTTAAGGGGTTAAGGCAACAGCAGCTGAAGTTGAAGCATAACTAGATTAGAGAATTTTGTCAGATCAGTTAATTTTGCGTTAAATTTGAAATTTGCTCTGAATTCTCACTTTGATAAATAACACTGTCAATGTCACAACTTAACAATATTAACTAATGATTTTTTTGTATGGTATGAAACTCACTGCTTAACTCCACATCAATGCGAGAAATTCAGATTTTCATTCACATATGCATTGCATTTATTATTATTTTTTAACAGTGGGTTGAAGTTATTTTCTATTCTTGATTAATTTTAAGCAATAATTACTGACTTTGTTGCATTTATGTATTATATTCAATTTCTTTAGATTGAAACTTTGGAAAAATGCTTGGAAGATCTGCTAATCCGAGTCGACGAGTTTGTTGGGATGTTGGATATGGTAAATATATATATTTTTTTAAGTAAAAAGAAGTTAAACCATATTCTTAAAGGAACACTGTATTTTTTAGGAATACAAAGCTGAATTCCTAACACTATATTGTCCCTCTCGTGCACGCATTAGGCCTTCCCCATAGGAAATAATTAATTTAATGCTTTCCTATGGAGGTTTTCAAAACGTGGAATGTCCTCATGCAAAGTCAAACTCTATGAAATTGTAGGAAGTCTAGCTTTCTGGTAGACAGTCACTAGAGGTCTTACCAATGCAATGTAAACATTGCAGTTTCTCTAGAAATGCAATGTTTTGCATTGCGGGGTTAAGGGAACAGGGACAGTGTACCCAGACCACTTCAATGAGATTAAGTGGTCTGGGTGCCTATAGTGTCCCTTTAAGAGATTCTCAATAATAAATTACATAAAGGGAAGACTGTGGGCACCATAACCATTTCAAGAATTTGAAATGGTTATGGTTCCTGGAGTCCATAGGTGCCAGATCCCACATCACTACTAAACGGTAAGCTCACCATTTATTAGATATTCTCAGTCCTTTGTACAATATTGATCTTTGGTATTTTCTGTTGTTCACCCTCAATTGACTAGATAGCTCTGGTACTTGCAGAATGTGTTATTCAAGTGGTTGACATGTTTATTGTTTTTGCAATTTACATGAAAACATTTATGCAAAAAAACAACACAAGACATAGTTATAAAATGCTATAATATGATGTATAAGCATTTTCCTTGATGGAACCACTTTACGTTTTGTATGTGATGTTTTGGTCCAGGATATTTACTTATTTTAATAATAATTTGAAGTATGAATTTGTAATGTTTTATTTTAAGTTTATTTTATTTTTATTTTTTTTACAGATTAGAAATGACACATCTCAAGTGATGAATGAAAAAGTGCCTCAAATTTATGCCAAAGCCACAGAAATGAGAGCATTGTATCATAAAATCGATATGCTTGAGGTATGTAAATCAGCACTTGTTTATTAATCTTGACTACATTTTAAACTTCTTTAATTGTTAATTTGATTTTTGACTGTATAGTTGACAGCTCCACACCAATTCTCCGTTAACCAGTCCTCAAGACTCACCGATGTTCTGCAATTTATGGACTGCTCATTTTTATGCCATTGGAAATATCAATAAAAACCTTGATGGTTCGTAGGTCCTTGGAGACTGTGAGAAAAACAGCTGTACAGCAAGATTGTGAAGCAGGGACTTTTTGATATGCTAACATGACATAAAACTATTTATCTTAAGATATATAAATATGTTTTTATTTATTTTATTAGTATTATTATTTAGTTTGATTACATGTTATCCTGCTTGCAGTTTTTAAAATAAAGTGCTGGAACTCAATTGAAGGTGTTTAGTATATACTTGAGAGATAATTTCACGCTCTCTCTCTCTCTATTTATATCCACCTCTAATAAAGAAAGATACTCTGAGTGCATTTATTGAAAAACTAACTAATCAAAAAGAAAACAACTCTAATTATTGGACCAATAGCATTTTTTAAGTACTTCTCCATAACTATGCACATTTTTAGGGACATTTACATTGTCTTCTTTTCTGTACCTGTAGGGAAATATTTGCATAAACCTTCAGCATCCTTAATATATGTTTCAATACATTTTCCCACATTCGCAAAATCACAGTAAACACTTGCTGACCCCTCTAGTGGTCTGCCAACTTAAAGGACCACTATAGGCACCCAGACCACTTCAGCTTAATGAAGTGGTCTGGGTGCCAGGTCCAGCTAGGGTTAACCCATTGTTTTATAAACATAGCAGTTTCAGAGAAACTGCTATGTTTATCAATGGGTTAAGCCTTCCCCCAAAGCCTCTAGCGGCTGTCTCATTGACAGCCGCTAGAGGCGTTTGCGTGATTCTCACTGTGATTTTCACAGTGAGAGCACGCCAGCGTCCATAGGAAAGCATTGATAATGCTTTCCTATGCGACCGGATGAATGCCCGCGCAGCACTTGCCGCGCGTGCGCATTCAGCCAACGAGGCGGAGAGGAGGACCAGAGGAGGAGAGCTCCTCGCCCAGTGCTGGAAAAAGGTACGTTTTTACCCCTTTTCAGAGCCGGGCGGGAGGGGGTCCCTGAGGGTGGGGGCACCCTCAGGGCACTATAGTGCCAGGAAAATGAGTATGTTTTCCTGGCACTATAGTGGTCCTTTAATTCTGGTCTCTTAATACCCTAAACAGTATTACTAACACAGCAAAGAGAGATCTGTCCCCAGGCCAAGGGTTGATTTACCTAAATGGATTTTTACCATGAACTGAAAACATTCTCAAGGTTTTTGCATTAAAAAAGATAATTTGTCCAATTTACTTATAAACAGGCCTTTGTCAGAAAGGTGGGAGGTAACGTTGCTGTGATGGAAGATCAGGTTACTCATGCAGAAACACAGCTTGGAACATTTCCTAATCCATTCAAGAAAATATTCAAGAACATCAGCACATCTCCTCTCTTTTCCCCAACTGTAAGTGCCTGTGCCAAACACAAGTGCAATATCAGCATTGTTTTCTGTCTGTCTGTAGAAGTTCCGCTTACAAGCTTTTACAACTTGTATTGTGGTATTTTATGACAATACTGAATACTTGCTTCATCCTGTGCAGACAGAGATGGGAGTAGCTATGGCAAGAACCATGTTGTGTTTTGTTTTTCAGGATGTTAGAAAAGATGGAACTAAACATAATTTCCCCATGCCGCTGGATGGCAAATTAATGCATGCATAGGTCTAAAACATTGGGCTTTATTTAGTAAATTACAGAATTGTAGTAAACCGAATGCCAAATTACAAAACTCCGACTACAATAGCCAATCTCTGATTATATCTGGAGTTGGAGAATGCTTTTCAAAACTACAGTTTGTATCTATATTGTCAGTATGATATTAATTTCCCCACAATTTCATGTTTAGTGAATAAATTCTGTTACTAGAAGTCCTGAGTGTACAGTATAACATTTCATATTGTTGTTGAATGTCAAATTCTGTTTCCATAAAATATTTTAATGTTTTAAGGCAAACATTTTGTTCTTTCTTTCCAACAAGAAACCATCATCCTCTCCAAGAGCACAACAAGCGCGATATGAGTCACCACCAGTATTCAAGACTGAGGACCACTTCCCATGCAGCAGCTGACCATACTGTTATAATGTTCTGTAAACCGATCTATAGTCTACAAAATGAACACCACCTGGATCCCACCTGGACTTTAATATTGCGGGATATCCTTGTTTAGACACTACTTAGGTATACGTCTTCCTGCAGGCCTTATGGAAGAATGCCTGCCATATATGCAAATATTTACTATACAGGGTTTGGTTTTGAATGGCAATAATGTTTCCTACATCTGACAGTTTTTTTTGCAGATGATGTGAGGCAGATTGATATGGTTCTGTTGCATTGTTTATATTAAATTCAAAATTATATTATTTTGATAATGAGTAGTTCCACGTTTTTTGCTCTATGTATTTACCTGAGTAAATTGTAACTGCGTTTTCTAAAATTATTCTTCGTTTACAAGAAGTCAATAAAGCATATTGTACTATTAAACCATGACTGTGACACCATGATGAAAGGTGCCAAAACCTACTCTTTGTCACTATTCTGGCCACTCTCTTTGACTAATGCAGTGATGATCCACATCAGTGCTGGTAGGTTGTCTCTTTCTGAGAGCCATTGACTTGAATATGTGTACAGTGATATAACGGTCATAATAATATTACTCCACCACAGTTGTGGGTGTTAATAAAAATATAATTGGACATGTTGCATATCAAGAAATTCAGTTGGGATGTAGAAGGAAAATAAACATAATGCCTGATCTCTATTAGTGACTGACTGATACATTATAGCAAAGAAGACTTTCTGTACAAAGCACATGCATGATGTGATTATGAAAGCCCTGAGAAAATATTCCATTGTGGCTGTTACTGTGCAATTTGCCAAGTAGTTAAAACAACTGTGTGGTTGTTTCAGATTACCTTGCTGCTGGATCCTAAGTAGTACAGAGCTAGCCATTCAATGCAGCTGGCCAAAGTGTTTTTTATGGACCTCTGCATAGAGATGGATAATTTACCATACTGTAAATCAAAGCCACTTACAAAGAGGCAAAAATAACTTAGTGGCCACAAAATGTATCCTCTCTCCTATGTGTCGTGTATTTAGTCTGATTCACACCATATGGCTTTATACATGAGTGTGTAAAAAGCTAACACATACAAGCTCACTATACACAAGCTCCCTGACACAGGTGCAATCCCCGTACACATAGCTTGCTGCAGAAATCTCACTGCCAACACAGGTTACTGCACACAATCTCACTGAAACACAGGATCAGAGCACCAAACTCACTACAGAAATCTCACTGACACACACAAGCTCACTGACCTACAAGTTCAGTACACATAGCTGACTACAGAAAGCTCACTGACACACACGATCACTACACACAAGAAGCTCACTACACAAACTCACGGTCACTCACCCCTTGCAGTGGAGAGCTGGAAGTTGACCCATATGTGTTTCCCAGGCTTTTCATGTCAGCAAGGCCCTTGGTTGGGACTTAGGCGGAGCTTAGGTACAAGTCAAATAGGAGCTCCAGGGAGTTGATGCAATGGTTTACAGCCACAGAGGGGAGGGGCTGAGAGAGTAGCAAGTGTGGGCATCAGCATTTATGATTATAAATAACACAGGTGTTGTGATGGATAGTATACTATTATTATTTAAAGAAATAATCCAGGCACAATAACCACTACAGCTCAGTGTAGTAGTTATGGCACCAGTAGTGCCAGGATCCCATCCCAGAGTAAGTAGTCAAACCGTTTAAGAACAGTTTGACAACTTACCTGGGGTCTGCTGGGATATAGGGCATAGGAGCAGTGGTATGTGTTAGGGGTGAAGTGTGTGTGAAAGGTGCAGTGTGTGTGTGAGCGGTGAAGTGTGTGTGCGAGTGCATGAGGGCGGCAGTGTAGGTCAGGGTTGAAGTGTGTGTTAGGGGGCAGTGTATGTGTGGGGTAGTGTGTGTGTGTGTGTGTGTGTGAGCGGTGCAGTGTGTATGTGAGGGTGGCAGTGTGTGTATGGGGCAGTGTTTGCGGGTCAGTGTGTATGGGGGCAGTGATTGTGTGTAGTGTGTGTATGGGGCAGTGTTTGTGGGGCAGTCTGTGTAGTGTATGTATGGGGGCAGTGTTTGTGGGGCAGTGTGTAGTGTATGTATGGGGGCAGTGTTTGTGGGGCAGTCTGTGTAGTGTATGTATGGGGGCAGTGTTTGTGTAGTGTGTATGGAGGCAGTGTTTGTGGGGCAGTGTGTGTATGGGGGCAGTGTTTGTGGGGCAGTGTGTGTATGGGGGCAGTGTTTGTGGGGTGTGTGTGTAGTGTATGTATGGGGGCAAGGTTTGTGGGTCAGTGTGTGTAGTGTAAGAATGGAGGCAGTGTTTGTGGGGCAGTGTGTGTAGTGTGTGTATGGGGGCAGTGTTTGTATGGGGGGGAAGGAGGGTAGGGAGGCTTTTATTTTATTTTAATTACCTTTACTGGGAGGAGGGGGGACATTCTGGATCCCTGGTGGTCCAGTGGGGAATCCCTGGTGGCCCAGTGGGGAGAGTGAACTCTAGCCTGCGCTCCAGGGCTAGAGTTCACTCTCGCGAGATTTGGAGTGTTGCCGTGGTAACCGCGGCAATGCTCCTTGCTCGCGAGAGGAGGACCCGGAGAAAATGCAGGTAAGAGCTCCCGGGTCCTCTCTTACTCCCTCTCCCTCCCCTGCTGGCTGTCAGCAATGTGCCTGCGGACCAGGGAGGGAGATCTCTGATCTCCCCTCCAGTCCTTGAAGGCACATTGCAGGGCTGGCAGGGGAGAATCTCGCCCCCCCCCCCCATATCCGCCACTGGTAGAGGGGCAGTAACAGTGGGTGGGGGGAATAAAGGGGCAGTGACAGGGGTTAGGGGGTAGAGGGTCAGTGACAGGGGTTGGGGTAGAGGGGCAGTGACAGGGGGTAGGAGGTAGTGACATGGGTTAGGGGGGTAGAGGGGCAGTGACAGGGGTAGGAGGTAGTGACATGGGTTAGGGTAGAGGGGGGCAGTGACAGGGGTTAGGGGGTAGAGGGAAGTGGCGGGTTGGGGGATAGAGGAGTAGTGACAGGGGTTAGGGGGGTAGTGACGGGTTAGAGGGTAGAGGGGCAGTGACGGGGTGGGGGAGTGGAGGGGCAGTGAAAGGGGGTAGAGGGGCAGGGGGTAGGGTGGAGGGGCAGTAAGTGACACGGGGTAGAGGGGAGTTTATAAATACCTTCCCTGGTGGTCCAGTGGGTGCCCTCTCTCTTCAATCTGCAGCTCCGCCAGGAGTGAGCTGCAGACCACATGGTGAGTCTCACGATCTCCAGACAGAACATTGCCGCGGCGGAGCTGCAGACTGAGGCTGGATCTCCGGCAGGGCAGACTGACAAGAGGGGCCTCGCACCCTGCAGCATTGTGGGCAAGCTGCCGGGCCCCCTCCTGTGTCGGTCGACATGTTAGTCTGCCCTAAGGCAGTGCAGCACGGAGATGTGATTAGGGTGTGCCCAGGCACACCCGGCACACGCCTATGCCCAATGTTTCTTTTTGTGTTCCCCAATACATTCTGTGTACCTGGACTGAAGAGGATTGAGACATCAATTAATAAATCCTTGATATACATTTAAAAGAAAACAGAACAACACCTGAAAAAAAATCTCAACAAACGTTATAGGTGATTTTTAATGCTTTAGTTAAAAGAAGGATCTCCCTTGTGAAGCATTTGGCCGTGCAGATATCATATCTCAAAACTGCGACAGGTTCTGCCACCGCCACTTGTTCACTAAGCAGTGTCAGAGGGACTGCAAATGGCATACTATTGGAGACTTTCAGAATATTCATTAAATAGATGAGTTGGAAAATGTTTTGTGCACTCATTTCTCTGCAGATGTCAAGAGCACTGCCTCTATAGTAGTTAGCAGAACACTCACTTTCAGAGAATTTACTCCAAAGCAACAGAACTTGTATTACTATTTCTGTTTTAATACATTGTTTCTGTGCCTTGCTGTAGAGCAATACAATAAACAGAATAGTTTCAAGAACTTAGGCAAATTCCATGATGTTTGTCCTTAAATAAACACTGGTAGCACTTTCTTTGTACATTATTTTGCATCTGATGTCAGGGCCGCCATCAGGGGGTAACAACTGCCATAGACGTCCCGGGCCCCACATTCCCTATGTACACGTATATATAGAGGAGGCACAGCACACTCCATCCTTCCTTTACAGCTCCTCTCTCTAAGTCTCGCTAAACCCGCTGCAGTAAGAGCATTGCCATGGCAACGCTCTGTGCGGCACACCAGCCATACTCACGATACTTCGAGAAAGGTTCAAAGGGGGTTAAGGTTCAAACTGCTCTAGGGGCTGCTGCTGAACGCTTCAAACATTTTGCTGATAAGCGTAGGAGTGCCAACCCGGTGTACCAAGTGTGGGACCGGGTTTGGTTGTCATCTCGCAACATCAAGCTTAAGGTCCCTAGCATGAAGTTTGCCCCCAGATTCCTTGGTCCCTATAAAGTGCTTCGTAGGATCAATGCAGTGTCTTACTCTCTGGCTCTTCCTGCATCTTTGGGGGTTCCCAACACTTTTCATGTGTCCTTACTTAAACCTCTTCTCTGCAATAGATATACTGTTCCTTGTGTTCCTCCCCCTCCGGTGGTGGTGGTGGGTGGTCAGGAGGAGTATGAGGTATCTTCTATCATGGATTCTAGGTTTTCTCTGGGCACTTTACAGTACTTGGTTGTTTGGAAAGGTTACGGTCCTGCTGATCGTTCTTGGGTTTCGGCTCCTGACCTGCATGCGGGCCGTAAGATCTGCGCTTTTCACGCCAAATTTCCTCTCAAGCCTGGTCCTGCCCGCCTGATGTGCGTTCTTCAGGTGGGGGGTAATGTCACGTATTCATCCGCTTATAAAAATGTGGTTCATGACATTTACTGTTCACACAGGAAAAGTTGTGACAAGCAGCAACCTAATCCACAGAGGGGTTAATGCTGAGCAGCAATTATGCAAATGAAACCTGGTAACTGACTTTGGGGTCAAAGGCCGGTTACAGCTTATCAGATCTAGAGGATGGGTATTTAGGCCCAGTTCTCATCCTGCTCAGTGCCCTGTTGTGGTTGTCTGAGAGTGTGTGCCTGTTTATAGTTTTCTACCTGGTTTTTGACTTTGGCTTTGTTTATTGACTTCTCTATATTCTGGTATCCTGACTCCTGGCTTTCATCATCGCTGCGTCCCTTTCTGTGTTCCCTGACCTTGGCTAGTATTTTTGACTATTCTATGTACGTTAAAGAACCACTATAGTGCCAGGAAAACATACTCGTTTTCCTGGCACTATAGTGCCCTAAGGGGGCCCCCACCCTCAGGGTCCCCCTCTCGCCGGGCTCTAGGGGGAGGAAGGGGTTAAACTTAACTCTTTCTCCAGCGCATGACAGGGAACTCTCCTCCTCCTCTCCTCCCTCTTCTTCCGTCACCGGCTGAATGCGCATGCACGGCAAGAGCCGCGTGCGCATTCAGCCAATCCATAGGAAAGCATTCACAATGCTTTCCTATAGACGCTGGCGTCTTCTCACTGTGATTTTCACAGTGAGAAGCGTGGAAGCCCTCTAGCGACTGTCAATGAGACAGCCACTAGAGGCTGGATTAACCCATAGGTAAACATAGCAGTTTAAAGGGTAAAAAAGGGTAATCCTAGCTGGACCTGGCACCCAGACCACTTCATTAAGCTGAAGTGGTCTGGGTGCCTATAGTGGTCCTTTAAATCTGGCCATTCTAAGGACTGGTAA